GGTCGCCAGCCCACAGGAGGTCCCCCCGATGTGGCCAGGCAGGAGCAGAGCCCCGGGCTCGGCTCCCCTCGCTGTTACCCGCTCACAGTGGGAACCAGCGGCAGCAGAAGCCAAGCGCTCGTGTGCCCACTGCTGGCACAGCCGGGAAGAGGACTCGGCCCGGGAGGGAGCCTCCTGAGGGCCCCGGGCCGGTCCCGCACCGCCGCCGCTCGCCGCCTGCCCCAGCGTGCTCGCATCTGCACGGCAAATGAAGGAGGATTTGGCAACGCTGCCCCGCGGGCCCATCGCCTCCTGCGGAAGAGCCGGGTTGACTCGCACGGCCTGGGCCGGGGCACCCCGAAACCCGGTCAGAGCGCAGGGGTTTTGTTTCGAGCAGCACCCAAACGCCGGCGGATCAGTGAAGGACGCGGATCTGGCGCAGCCACAGCCTGGGGCAGCTCCCGCCGCTCCCAGAGCAGCCCAGGGGCCGCTGCTTTGCCACCCTCCAGGCTCCCGCCGGGCAGAGCCGTCACTGGGGGCTGTGAGGACAGCAGGGACTTGGATCCGTGCAGCCCCGTGCTCCCAGCATTGTCCAGGCCTGGCACAAGTGCCCAAGAGGCAGCTCAGAGGCAGCAGACGGGGAGCGGGGATGGCGCCGCCGGGAGCTGTCACCATCCCTGGCCTGGGCTGCAGCCTCCCTGCACTGGTGAGGGGCTTTGTGCCAGCAGGGACCCTGGCACCAGACCTGCCTCCGGCACAAGGACCCATTTTGCCAGGGATGCTGTGTCCAGCCCCACATGTCCACCATGCCCCAGGAGCTCCCCACCAGGAGGAGGCAGAGTAGCAGCTTCACTGGGGAAGCACCAAACAAGGTACAAAGTGGGTTCCCACCATCATTTTGAAGGGATTGAACCACTTCAGGCTGCTGGCCTATCACCTGTCACCGGTGGTTTAAGATTCCAGCAAAACTTCACAAGAAATCAGGCTGGGATTAGGGCCAGGGGACCCAGAAACGTGGCTTAGGAAAGCTCAGAACTTGCTGTGAGATGAGCCACATGCACATCAATGGCAATTAGTATAACAACAATATCCGAGAGGGCAAGGCATCCCTCTAGGTAGAGGAGAGCATCAAGATGGTGGGGCAATGTCCATTAAACAGCCTTTGCCTCAACTGGGTGCCCAGTTAACCCCCATCCACACAGACCCATCTAGAGTCTGCCCAGCACTTGGCTGGGAGCAGGACCAGCCCCTACCTCGTTTTGCCCACCTAGACTCAGTGGTTGGGTTAAAATCGGTTAAAATCCATTTTCACCAATTCCAACGCTTGCTCCAGGTCCCAGGGCCCCCGTGGCACACCAGCCCCGTACACTCAGCTCTCCTCTTGCATTCCTGCCCCCAAGCCAAAGGAATTGCCTCGCTGCAGCCACTGCTTCACCGTAGTTGTGATCGCATTTTCTCTGCAGTGCAACGCACATGCTCCTACAGCTACAGTGCAATTGCCAAGCATATATTTGCATGCAATTACCCATTTTGAAAGGTGGTAATAAAGTCAAAGGGATTAGCTCCAACACACTCTGCTCTCCAGACCTTGTCCTCATAGGACCTAAGCGCAAACCTCCCAGATTATTGCAATACTCAGTGCAGCTACTGCCAAGAAGCTAAATCATTCCCACATCTTCCCATTAACTCAGCTCTGTCCCATCAAATATTAAAGAGCCTCAAGCCTGGACACAGCTCATTTTTCGAAGGTCAAGCAAATCTTTCATCTCTTCTCTTCCCACCTTTATCTCCATCACTGTTCCCACCATCAGCTGAGTATCACATGCTCTTTCATGTGAATTTTAGCACTGACTCTCAATAATCGGTGTACAAGGCTCCTCTGTTCCACGGAGATATGAGTGTTTCACTGCTGGTTTTGCTTTTAAGACTAAAGAGATGACTGCCTGAAGGAGGGACTTTTTATTGACCTTTTCTTTTAAATACTCAGTGGTTTCTCAGTGTATCTCACTGGTGACACCAAAGAGAAAACCAGACTGCAGGGGGCTGAGCAGCCATCGCAAGCAAGGGGCTGGTTAACCTCCCACATGGGACATCTCCTGACCTGGTTGCTCCCGAGAAGTCTGCCTGGAGGGAGGAGGAAGGTCCCCACGAGTTCATCTCCATCAGAGCAGGTTTGTCCCCACCACACCTTCCTACCTCCCACATCCCCAGCACGAGGATTCCCTGGGTGGAGGGGCCTCGGGGGTCCCTGCACTCGCTGTGCTGCCTGGGGTCAGCGCAGGGCTGTGAGAAGCAAACTCCCCAGGCAAGCCCATCTGGCTGGGCCGGGTTTGATATGCAAAGATCCTGTGATAGGCTGATGCTTTCCTCTGGGGTGACCTCCCCGCTCTGGAAGTGGGGTTAGCTGCCATCTGGCTCAGCCCTTCCCTTCCCAGGCAACACAACCTGACCTCAAACTCCACCACGCTTTACAAGCCCTGCATGAAGCCGTGCCCCAAGGAGCACTAAGGGCACCACAGGAGCACCCCACAGTCCTGGAGATGCTGCGAGCTTTCTGCAGGCATTTCACGTGGCTCAAATGTCAGCACCAAGCCAAGGTCTGGAGGGCTGCTTCTGGATGTGATGCCCTTTGGCCAGCCTGGGGGATTCAGCTGCCCCCAGAGCTTTCCCATGAAGTGAGTAAAGAACACGAGAACAGAAAACCAGGCATCACAACAGGACTGGCCCGTGCCAGGGTCCTGGGTCCGCACGTACCAAATCCCATTTAGTGCACAAGTGCCTCAGTCTCCATCTCTCAGCCCCGGCCCCTCTCCCAGCAGCATCAGCCCCTGGGTACATGCACCCCCAAAACCAGCAGCCAAGGCACCTCCAAGGGCTCTCCCACACTCTGCACCCCCCATACCCGAGCCGGTGGGACGGGGCACACCCGCTCCCGGTGCAGACCCAGCCCGGGACCGCGGCAGCCCCCGGGGCAGAGCCAGACCCGAACTCACCGGAGCTTCCTGCGCATTTCGGAGCTCGAGCAGCGAGCGCGGCCCGGGGGTGCTGGGTCCTCACAGCACCTTCCCCGCCCGAGCACTGCCTCGGTGCCTCGCCGCAGCGCCCAGCACCGCGCAATCCCCTGCCCGCGGTGCCAGGGCTCTCCATCCATCACCTCGCCGCGACACTCCCACTCCACAGCATCCACTCATCCTCTCCAGTTCCGAGGCCCTCAGACATATTCATGGTTACCATAGGAACTAATGAAACCCGAATTAAAAGAGAGAGGAGAGGCAGACAGAGGGAAAACCGCTTCGATGCTCTGGTGCCACCTGTGTGTGCGAGTTTATTACACCAGTGAGGAGAGCAGCAGGCAGGGAGCACCCCACAGCCCAGTATCAAGCTCGGTCTCGCCAAACACCAACTCCACACAGGATCCAACCATCACCCTTCCCTCCAGACCCCAGCAGGGACACACAGCCCGCTGCTCCCTGGGGATCAAGGGGCTCAGTGCCCCAGCGAACCTGGGTGACAGCTCAGAGCACGCTGGGACCCCCCCTGCAGCCAAACACTGGGGGCCACATCTGCTACCCCGTGGTTTTCCTCCGTGCCAGGCTCCTGCAAGTCAATATTGATGCCTGCAGCACACACAAGGCTTCGTGAAGTGCTCCTTGGCTTGCAGAAAGCAGCTTGTCTTTTTGTTAGCAAGTTACACAGTGAAAGAATTGCCCACGCCTGGCATGTCAGCAGAAGGCTGCAGCAGTAATAAGAGGGTGTTAGAAAACCAAAACTATGTTTTTATTATTATTTTTCTATATATTTTAAAAGCTTTTACAAACATCTAATGTAGCTCTGGCTGGGCCCCAATTACAGAGCCATTTAATGAAGCAATCTGTCCACAAACCAGACGCATTTAGGAAAGGCTGTGGAAAGCATTAGCTGCAAATGGCAGGGATAAAGCAGCTCCAGTGGATGCTCATCGAATGCCCAGAGAGAACCCCCTCCTCCAGCCGAGAGAGGAGGGTGGGAGAGAGAAATGTGGGCCCAGACCCTCACCCCTGCCTAAGCAGGAGCACAGCAACATGCCCCATGGCTCACGGTGCCCAGCGTGGTGGGGAAAGGAGGCTGAATGGAGTTTCTGCAGCAGGGCTGCTGCATGGGGCCTGGGGAAAACGTCAGGGCACAACGTACCCGGGCTGTTTAACTCCTTCCACCTCTATGGGAAAAGGGAAGTCTGCTGAGATTCACCCAAAGCGGTGAACATTGATTTAAACCTCTCATTAGCTCAGCAGAGGCCGAGCCCCGAGCCGGGGGCAGCAGCTCTGTTGTGCTGTTTACCACGGGCAGTTGCAGGCGCGTTTGGGCAGCAGGTTCCCCCAGGCTCTCTGTGCACTTTGCCACTAATGGCCGTAGAGGGAACCACAGGAGGTGTTACCACACACACCACCCGTGCCCGGGCAGGCTGAGCAGGAGTGTTTCTGTGCCAGCACATGTTACGCTGACAGCCTGCACCCATCAGCCAGCACCGCAACAGCCCCGGCTCACAGACCCTCCTGGGCCCCAAGAGCATCTTCATCCCTCCAGAGCCATGCCCAGAGCCCTGCGGGAGCAGGAGCAGTGCAACAAGCACCAGCACCCACTGCCCACTGACACCCGCTCCCGCTCCAGGCTGCAAGGTTCAGACCAGAATAAACCAGCTCCAGCTCCACTGAATTCCCAGGCAGAAGCTTGGTGGCGATTCCCACCCCCATCCCACCAGCTGCGAGTTAACCCACTGATCATGCAGCACTTGTGTTGCTGCAGTCACTAAAACCACCCAGTGCCTGAATCACCTTGGACTGGAAGGGAGCGCAAGCTGCATGACACACACAAACACAGCTCCAGAACAGGGAGATATGGCTGGTGTGCCACTGCACAGAGGTGGAATCACAAAGAGAGCCCAGCTAACAGGAAAAAAGCATCCTGCATGCACAAAGCCGTCCCCAGCACCATGTATCTCACAGGGAAATCACTTTATAGGAGAGAAGAATGAGGACACTCACTTCATCTTCAGGCTGGCGAGCATCGTCTTGTCGATCCTGGGGAGAAAGCAGAGGAGGGTGTTACTGCGGGTGCAGGAGGGATGTGTCTCCCTCCAATGTGGGTGCTGGGTGCTGCTGGCAAACCCGACCCCACGGCTTCATGAAAAGCCCCGTGGTGCCCCCAAGAAAGGAGCAAGGATACAGCAGGGGCAGGATGTCTGTACCTGACCGGTCACAGCCTCGCTGTGTGAGCTCAGGCTCATCCCTGCAGGGCTGCACCATCCCCACCTGGGCACTCCCCCCTTCCCTTGCCCATAGCTGCTGTGAACACACACATGCACCCAGATGGGGGGACCAAGGAGCAGCCCCATTGCTGCCAGCCCTGGCAGGAGCCCCAATGCCTCACTTCTTTATTTAGCACCACTAATAAGGGCCTATCTCCACGGAGTCATTGTGGTTACAGTGACATTAATATTAATTAATGCAAATGATAGTAATGTCTCAAAATACAAAATTATGTCTTTTGGCAGGCGCTGCACATGCTGTGCTCTGCCACATGGGATGAGAGCCGCATCTCGAGGAAAAAGCAAACACTAAACAGCAGCCCCAAATCCCACTTGTTCCACCCTGTGCCCACAGAGGACAATGCAGGGCAGCAGAAATGCTGCTTCCCCTCTACTCGCAGCTTTACCTCCCTCTGCTCTCAGGCTCAACTTCCCTGTCACAAGAGGCTGTACCCACGGGGCCAGATCCTGGTACTCTAGAGGCCGAGCCAGCACCTCCTGCCCACCCTGCCTGTGCCTGCACCATCTTGGGCCAGCATTTCCTTCCCAAACCCCAAGGCCGTGGGAGCTTTGTTCCAGGCATTCCCCCAAACAGCTCTGGGAGAGCTGGCACGCTCCTGCTCCTGAAACAGACCCAGGCACCCGCTATTGGCACTTAATACTCAACCAGCCCGACCACGGCCCTTGCTGATCATTAAATCGAGTTGAACATTAAAGTGTGCTGGGGTAAAGAGCTGTTGCTGGAGTCGGTGGCAGATGCGGAGAGCCCCGGGGACAGCAGGTGTGGGGGCAGCTCCCGCGGGATCCGCACCGAGCGGCTCCATCCGGAACCGCAGGAACTAAAACCCGTTGCTGGTGGTTGGCCTCATAGAGAGCGGAGGAAAAAAGAAAAGAAACAGAAATAAACCACAGCAGAGAGAGCCCCGCGCAGGGAAACCGCAGCTGCAGGATGACTAAGCTGAGAGCCGGCCCTGCCCCGTGCCCCCTCCCAAGGTGGGGTGAAGTGAAACACCCCACAGCCAGCCCAGCTCCTCCTGCGCACCCCAGCACAGCCCTGCGGCTCCCGCAGCACCCGCTGCCCCAAGAGCAGCGGCCAGCACCGGCTGGGGGCAGAGGGATAGGGCATCCGCATCAGTCACTGGGGCCAGTGAGCTGGGCAGGGGAGCGGTGGCAGCTCCCAGGGCTGTCACCACGGCTCTACATCACCCACGATGCATCCCTACATCCCAGAGCGACAGCAGCACATCTGCTGCCCCAGGACAGCTCTTTCAGGACCTCTCTGGCTGCAGATACGGACAGTGGGCAGAATAAACCCTGATTCTCACCCTGCTGGAGGGCTGAAGCAGCACTCAAGGCACCGGCAGTGGTGTCTGGGTGTGTCCGGGCACCCCACACACGGTCCCCACAGGAAGGGTGTGTTGGCTGGGGCAGGGTGAGAAGATGCAGATGCAGGTACCGGCTGCAGCAGGTTCCTTCCCTTCCCGTAAACACCCGGGGAAGTGTTTTCCCACTGGGCACAAAGCTCTCCGGGCAGCGCACGGCTGCGAGGGGCATCCTCCCTGGGGAGCTGTGCACTGACCACTTGGAGCTGCCCCGCACACCCTGGTCTGTCTCTGTGCAGACGCGGGTGCTGATGCTCACAGCAAGCCCGTGCCCTGCAGCGCAGCCCCCTCGCTCCAGCAGACCTCGTTTCCTGCCCGAGCCGCAGTTGTGGTTGTCTGCTCCCTGCAACTGCCAAAGCCAGAAGGAAAACAACAGAGCAAAGCCCAGAGGCCCCGAACACCCCGGCGCGGGGGTAACGGCTCCGCTCCGTCCCAGCGGGAGGCTGTCACCGGCAGCAGCTCCCGGGACGCGCCTGCTGGGGCCCCAGAGCCCCTGCTCCCGGTGGCAGCAGTGGGGCAGAGCCGTCCAAGAGCTGCCATTTGTGCCCAGAATGAGCCTGCCCTTCACTGAAGTTATCTGTCCAGGAGGACGTCCAAGGACTTCCTTCCCATTTTCATGTAGAGGAAAAGCCCAGCTGAGAAAACGCTTGGCTTCACTGGGGGGGGGGAGCTTCATTCCCGGGACCTGGACGCCCCCCCCCCCCCCCCGAGCTCACTGCCCCCCTGCAGCACTTTCCCCAGCAGGTTTTAAGCAGCCACAAGCATTCTCCCAAGCCCTGCAGCTCCCACAGCACCACAGCAGAGCTGCCCTTGAGCCAGCACCGGAGAGCCAAAACCATCACAAAATCACCCATTCGGCCGTCAGTCTCCACTGACCACAGTCACACAGCACGGACCTGGAACGGGCATAAAAGACATTAGAAAGGGGGAAACTGGGGTCGAGCAGTGCCGCTTCCTTATTTCCCTGTAGATAACACATCTGGGAGAGAAGGGCCACAAGACGCAAGCAGACCCAAACGGCTCTGCCAAGCACGAAGGGAGCAGGGACAACTCAGGAGGCGCCGATGGTGCCAGGAACCCGCCATGGACGAGGTGGGACCCCACCGTGTGCCACAAGGTGCCAAAGGCGGCTGCAAGCATCACTGCCCAGGCACAGAGGAGCGGGCAGCGGGTCCTCAGCAGCCAGAAGCTGCCTGGGCTTCCCTGCGGGCACGGGGGAAGATCCTGGCTCCCGCACGTGCTGGCGCGGGAAGGGCTCTGCTTGAGGACACCGCAGCGCAGCAGCGCGGTGCGTCCTTCCCAGAGGGAAGGAGAAGCTGCCCGTGCGGCACCGAGGGCAGGACAAGAGGCACCCACCAGCCGTAGCCGCCGAAGGAGACGCTGCGCTTCCTCTGGAACATGGTGGCGCGGTGCTGCCGGGGCGCTCCAGCCATGGGGACACCGGGACGGCGGCAGCGTGCCGGGTGCTTCCTGCGGGACAGGCGCTGTGCCAGGGCGGGGGGACCCAGCGCCGCCCCTCCACACACCCCAGATAAAAGTCATTTCCTTTTCTCTGTTTTCGCTTGCGGCCTCGGGCTTTTCACAACCCTTCGCTGCAGATGGCGTATTTCTCCTAATGGCAGGAGCCGTGGCACTGGAGCTGGACACGGCGTCACCCGTAGTCATGGTGCCGTGGGGCTGCCCCAGCTGGCAGAGGGTCTCTGGTGGCACCACAGGGGTCTGCATCCCCGAATCCTGCATTCCCTGCACCTGGCTGGCTCCCTGGTCAGGGATGCTCCTGTGTCTCCAGCACCTTTCAATGGGCTTCCCACTAAAGGCATGGAACCTCAATAACCCTAACCCAAAAACCCCATCACCACATCTCTCACAGCAAACAGGTCCCTGGCTGCTCCAGCTCTCAGTGGGGCACCTCCCACACGGCCTCATTCAGCAGCAGTACATGGGTTTTCTCCCATTCCCCAGCAGCTCCGTGATGTGCAGCTGCAGCCTGACCACCACTGAAAACCACGCAGTCCTCTCAGAGCCAGGCTTCATAAATCCCACTTAAATGGAAGTACTGACCTGCGGCTGGACACGAGCTTCCATCAATCACAAGGTCCCAAGAAAACAGGCTGCTGTTCCCTGCACCAGCCTTTGGGAACAGCAGAGCCCATGGGAGCTGCGAGATGTGCTCCTTCCTTACCAGCGCCCAGGGGCTGGGTACCACATGCAGGGGCTGCCATCCCATCCTCACACCTTGCAGCTCCCCAGACCAGCCACCAGCACCCATCTGCACCCCCTCGGGCTGCAAGAGGGGCTTCACCCTCTCCAGTGAATGAGAAGGAAGGGTGGGAACCACAAGCATCCTTCCACAGCCGGGGAGCTGCACTATCCCGGGGCTGCAGTGGGACTCGGGTTGGAGCCGCACCTCGCACTGCATCCTCGCATCATCCACCGAGCTCAGGAGATGCAGGAACCCAAGGCTCCCTTCCCAAAGTCCCGGCAGTTCAGAGCCGAGGTGCTCCTGGTTCAACTCTTTGTGCACTCACCTCCTACTCCGGTGATTCAACATGACACCCCACACACAGCAAACATCCCTTGGTGCGCTGCTGGGCAGGGCCTGGATCCCAGCGCTCCGTGGGTCCTGATGCGAATCCTAGCCCAGAGCTCTGCAGGAGCCAGCCTCTCATCCAAGCACCCGAAAGCTTTAAACTGAGAAGCATTTGGATCCTGTCTGATGTGTGAAAGGAAGAGGGGAGGCAGGGGGTGGATGGGGAGTTGGAGAGAGAAATCACTCAACTCTGGGGAAAAAGCTTGGACTCACATCCAGCTATTTCAACTCCTACTTTTCTGCCCACAGCCATCTCTCCTTAGAAGGATGAAGTGATTGAAATCCTTTGCATTCGAGGGCTCTTAAGAACATCATTAAAAAAAAAGGGGGAAAAAAAAAAGAAAACCCAAAAGCCTCCCAAACGTGCTGCAGGCTCGAAAGCCATAATTCAGGTACCATGAAATATCTGGAGCAGACATTTGCTCAGAGCACGTTTGTTTCTGGCCTGGATGCTTCGTGTTAAAGCTCTGCATCAACAGCAGTGTGACGTTATCCTCGCGCTTAATCTTCCCCCAGGCCACATCTTTCTTACACTCACAGCAGTTGGTTTCTGCCCAGCTCTACTGAGCCACACATGATTCACATGCCTGAAAACACAAGCAGGGAGCCCTGCAGTGCATGGGAACTGCATGGGACTGCTGTGGCCCAGTGCAGCCCTGCAGGCAGAGGTGCAGTGCAGGTAGCGACAGCAGCCATGGGGAGCATCAGTCTACAGCTGGCATCACACCAGAAATGGCGTGGAGAGCCCAGGAAAACAGCCAGCTCTTCATTTAAACGTTTACTCTTGCAGTCTGTAAGCAG